AGTTTTTTTTTGTTGCTACTGCTCAAAATAGTGCTTCAAAAATTTTGTTTTATGATTATACGTATTTCAGACAGTTCATTCAAATTGATAAGGCATTTTTATTCATTATATTTTGACAAAATGCAATTTTTGTTAACATTTTAGTCAAAACACTATATTTGCCTATTTCTCCATGCACCACTTTTGGACTTAATCCTTGTTTCGATGTGATGGGTCACAAATATGCCGTTTAGCAAAACGTTCTTCACCTTGCGTCCACCAGGGGAGCTGTCGTTGGCCAAGGTGGTGGCCACGGTCACAGCAACAGGTTGACTGCTGTTCTCCTTGGCCATGGTAGGAGCTGCTGTGATGATCTGCCAGCCGTTGCCCGTGAACTGAGCCGGGACCAGTTCCAGCTGCTGGGGCACCAGGGCCTGACCCCCAGCTGCGTCCACCACTATKTGTCCCTGAAGCGGACCCGCCTGCAGCTGGATCTGACCGGCCTGGACCTGGATCTGCTGGGCACCCGCCTGGGCCTGGGCCCCCTCCGCCGCCTCCCCCTGCCCTCCGATCTTACTGCAGGTGGCTGCMAGCAGCGCTAACGGAGAGGGCTGAGAGGAATCCTGCAGGAGACGGGAGACGGTTAAAACGCGACTGACGAAGGGTCACCCGTGTCCACGCATGTAAACGACGACATCATGTAAACATCAATAAAGGGACGGTGTTTCCACAAAAAAAAGTTTCACATTTAACAAATTGAAATGAGAAGAGGAGCATTTTGAAAAATGGGGGGTGGAGAAAAATGTGGTAGAGAAAAAGGAAACAGTAAGCCCAGAGACAGAGAGCTGTCAGTGGAAGTGGGCGGTATTACAGGAAGCGAGTGGGTGGGCGTGTGAGAACCACATTTCTCTTTTCTCAGAACACTGGAAAAAGAAAAAAAAAAGCCGCCTTCTCTCTCTGCTCCTTTTGTAAAGGAACTAGGTCGCAGGCGAATTTTGAACACTTAYACACCTTTTGACACTTAAAACAAGCCTCAAACAACCACAGCGGCACAGGACAACATCACGGCAGCAGTGCCTGCCGAACACATCGACAACAAAACGGTTAGAATAAACGGTGTGGCTGAAAAAGGATCAAGCTGCGAAAGCACATACCGAAAGGGAAGGCAGTTTTGAAATATATCCATGAGTTTGATCTTAATTCAAACAGACAATAYAAAAGTACAGCTGCTGGAGTGTGACAGCCATGTAAGCTTATTCATGAGGCTTTGGGTTGGCTTTTAGCAGGGCTGCACAGAAGCAGGAAGTGGAATTCACCAGAGTAACGCCCCCAGAGGTGTCTGGATGGCYAGTTGAGGGAGGGAGTACATTTGTGGCCTACAGGCAAGTTGGAAACTAATGAACTACAATAAACTCGCATGTTTCTTTTATGCTTGTTTGTTTTTTTAGGGGGGGGGTTACCTGCGATCCAGAACTTTTACCCCGTTTTGATGCTTTCCCTCCTTCAGTTCCAGCTGATTCCTTCTTCGAGTCTGTGAAAAGAAAAAGTACATTTTGAGATTATTTCTCCATTGAATCCCAGCCCCATGAGTACGTCTGCTAAGTCCCAGGACAAGCAACGTCGGTGCTGTGGAGTGCAAACAACACGACAGCATAGCATGTTTAGCAAAACAAAGGTGATCAATAAAGACAGAAGAGAAACCAGTAACCTCATCATCAATATCAAAGGGGGCATGGAACCTCCTATCTGTCAGACGGATAGAAAGAAAGAGAGAGGGGTGGAGACGAACCGGGGGGGAGGGTACTTACCACTCATAACGCATTAATATACCGAGAGGGAGAGGGTGTAGTTCACGGTAGAAGGCCGGCCGGGTACAGAGGCGGAGGACGGCCTATATGTTCGGCTCTGGGCCGTAGCGGATCTGCCCGTTTGACGAAACCACCCACCCAGCCAGGAAGGGCGGTGCCAAGCGCGTTTACAATCAAGCAGCCCTCCAAAATAACGGGAACAACAGAGCGCGAGCTAACCGTGCCCGCTCCGTCGGACTCCTCGCGGCCCTTTCCTGCGACTCCTCTGCCCGGATAGACAGTCCATAAACGAGCTAATTTGTGCCTGTCAGAGCGACATCCACGGGGAAGTTGGCGGTGTGTGACCGTAGAGGCCCACCCACTTCCATTTAAGCATCCAGGACAACACCCTCCTCTCTTTGCTCCTGCCTGTCACCGCCGTTTCTCTCTCCCCGCCCGACCGACACACGACGCGGGGACGCCTCGTCCGCCGTCCGTCTCGCGCCGAACCCGAGCCGTCACAGCTGTTTATGTTTTGAGCGTATGGCGTTTTTTATTCGCGCAGAACTGGATTTTCTTTTTCACAGAGAAGAGATTCGGGRAGATAGCTGTGGCTTTTGTGGGCGGACACGCTCCTCCCACATATTCAGATTGGACGAAGAGGCTCGGTGTGCGAGGGTCGAGATGGGAGTTGTATTTTGACGAGGCCTCGCCTTCTCGAACACGCTAGGGTAGCCCGAACTACGACTCCCATGATGCTCAGCGGCRCTGGCCGCCATGTTGAAGCGAAAGAGAAGGGCGGTGACTTCTCTTTGATGGGGGGTTGGGCGAACTGGAAAGGGAGGTGTGTGTAGAAACAAGGAAACACGAAGAGAAGTGTAATTTATTAGTGAAAATAATATTTTATAACGAGTTTATACAGTTAATTTAGAAGTTTTGTTTCMTTTGTGTTGAAAGTCCTGCTTTTGTTCGACTTTTTTCAAAGTTAAAAACTTTTTGTGAAAAAACTCAACCAAAGCTTTAGGAACAGTCAAAACCTAATATCAAACTGATTCAACAGGAAATTGCTCACAACCGCACACAAACCACACAAATGCAATTTGCTTGTCAAGAATATATTTAATGAATATATTACATAAAATACAAAACGATTTTCAGATTAACATGTTTTTTTCTTTTTACATAAACCCTGATCCTTATTGTACTAAATAGGATTAGGTCCACAGTGTAAATAAATAATGTTTTTGCAGAGTTCAGACTTTTTTCTCAGACTACTGACTTTATTTCTTGGAATTCTGAGATTATAATCAGAAAACTTCTGCAGAGTTCAATTAGTTTAATATCGTGTTACCTGATAGGAGGTTTTAACCAACAGGCCTGCTTGGTTTTACAGTCCTCTGGTTGTGTGTGTGCTTGTGTGTTCTGTCTGAACACACTTTCCCTGTTAAACTACAACCACACACACTCAAACACACACACACGCACACATGCACTGTAATTACTGCGGAAGCTGAGTGCCTTGTGACCGCCCCCTGAACCACTTGGCAGGGCTTTGCTAGGCAACGAGGCCTGGTCTGCAGCAGGGGGTGTTGTTCTGTGTTTGAATGTATGGTGGGAGAAACTGAAGGGGGTGTGGTGAGGACCAGGCTGGGGTTCACAACAGAGACAGAATCGCCACTAATCTCTGCATCTGACACTCACTTCTRCTAAATGCAATTCATAATATAACGCGGCATTTTTATTAGGTCACATTTAAAAGGTAAGAAACAAAAAGCACATTGTTTAAATTTCTTTAGTTAAAAAAATATTTGTGCAGTTTGTAGTGTTGGCCACTAGATGGCACCATTACGTTGTTTAAAAAAAACTTGTACTGAAGTTTTTCACCTGTCAGAGTTAGGGTAGGTAAACAATTAATTTGATGATTTTTTTTATTACAAAATCATGCCAGAGTAGTAATTTTCACAATGATCATTTTTGAGCAATGCTAAGTGTATAATAATGAGTTGTTTAATAAAGCAAATTACCATGTCCGTCATCAATCCCTGCTTAAACATGACGCAGTTCCCCTAAAGCACTAATAGGGGAACTAATTTCCTGATTATTGCTTTAGTGCTTTTATTTATTTTAAAATTTATTAGTGGATCAACACTTGCTAAATTTATAGGCTAAATTTTGAAGCACTAACTGAGGTCTGTAAATGTTATTGATCAACGTTATTGTTAAAAGCTGATGGTGAAAGCTGTCACACATTTTGTTCATATGTGTGTCACTTTGCCACTAGGTCAGTGGTTCCCAAACTTTTTATCTTCTGACCCACAAAATATCCATGGCAAAAACTTGTGACCCCAAATGTTACTGGTCTGAGTACACAAACTTCGTTAATAACCCTAAAAACAGGATTTTTGACAATCTAAACAGCTTGTACACAAATATAAATACTTATTTATACTTATTTTGTGTTTTTGTAATAATTATAGAGAAAATATTACATCAACAATTATTTTATTACCCTTTAAATTGATTTCTGGAGATTATCCAAGGTGCTTCATGACCCATAATTGGGTCCCAAGCCCAACTCTGGGAACCAAAGTGCAGTGGTTCCCAAACTTTTCAGCTTTTGACCCACAAAATAACAGTAGCAGAGACCTGTGCCCCCAACTATTTTTGGATGATAAACATTTGTATCAGGTCAACAAAACAACAGTAATAGTAACAATATTTTTATACTACATTTATCCATTTTAAATACACTAACCTCACTCCTTTGTAACAACTAAGGCAAAAAGTAATTAATTCAGAAAATCTTTTCAAGACCCCACCTTGATGTTTTGGGACCCCACTTTGGGTCCCGACCCCAACTTTGGGAAACACTGCACTAGGTGACAATATGGGCGGCTGTGGTGTAGTGGTAGAGCAGCCGGCTTTGGGACCTGCAGGTCACAGGTTTGACTCCCCGCCATGCCCACATGCCGTTGTGTCCTTGGGCAAGATACTTAACCCCAGTGTCTCTGTGATGTGTGTCCCATCAGTGTATGTGTGATTGGCACTGATCAGTCTCCAGATGATTGTACATGTTAGCTTTGTAGGAGATCTGGTAGAGTGCTCTGTTTGGGTAAATGAGGACACAGATTGTAGTGTGAAGCGCTTTGAGTGTCCTGGATGGGTAGAAAGGCACTATACAAGTACAGTCCATTTACCATTTACCATATGAACCCAAATACAGCTGTGGAATGTCAATGATAAGAATTAAGAGAGCAGCATGGCAACACGTGACTCGTCTGCTGAAGAATGATCATGGGTTGACTGGGTTATTTTATTGCTTTAGAATTGGCTTTTGCTAAACTTTTCAGTGCATTAGTGTTTTATAGGGTACCTAAATATCTGAGTTAGTGTTTTATTGCTAGTGGAACTATTTTTTTTAGATTAGTGCTGCCCACCGCTCATGATGTAACAACAAATAAAGTAACCAACTAGCTAACTATAATTTGGATCTAAACAAATAAGTTACTAAATATAGGCTAACCTTGATAACTCCCACAATATATTTTAATACAGAGGTCCAAATTTGGGGTTCAAATGCTTCTTGTTCATAAAGGAAGAAATGGTCTGGAAATGTCAGAAAAAAATAAACAAGTTTACAGTGTGGTGCACAGATGTGTCTGTTTTTTTGTGCAAATAAGAGCAGCAGAGCTAAATTTAGCACAAAAAGTAACACAATCTGTGTTGAATAAATTATTTCTTTGTTGTAACAATGCTTCTTGGTAATACATCTTAAGCTCTTGGAAAGCTGTTTTATTTCATTTTTAATTGGAGCCACATTTGTAAGGAACATTATCATCTCTGCCAAACAACTTATTTTGTTGTTGCTATTGACATTTGTTTTGAGCTAGTAACCCAGGTGCTGCCAATCAAGTACCGATCGTAAGATTTATTGCCATTGTTACAACAAAGAAATTATCTATCAATTACTATTTGTGCTAAGTAAAAGAAGAAACTCTTTGAGAAGATGCAGTCATGTATTCTTAAAGTGTTGATGTGTGCATGCGTGTGTGTGTGTGTGTGTGTGTGTGTGTGT